GCCCCCGCTCCTCGCTCAGCCAGTGAGCGGCCGGTCTGCACGTGGGATCCGAACCCTTGGCAGGAGCGCCGCCGCGCTTCCCAAGTGGCACACTGTAGCAGTGTGCCACCGGGCCGGCCCATCAGAACTATTACCTTCTTAGATTTTAATTTTTCTTCACTTTCTTACCTGTGAATGGGCTTTCTTTGGGGGGACCACCTAAGATAAAAAACACAATTTTTTCCCCATGATTTTATTAGAGTTACTGCATATGGGGTAATGACTAGAATGTAACCACAGTGAGATTGAGATTTAAATTCCAGGTGTTTGGCTAGGTTCATTCACTAGCTCAGGGACTCCTACACAGCAGCTACGCAGCATTCGCAGTTCAGACCTGTGCCCCAGAGAAACAAATAACTGTTTGCCAAGTGTTTTGTGGTCATAGCATTCTGTAGTAAAGAAATAGACTTGGCTTCAAAAACCCACTCTGCTGACTTTTTAGTTTTAGTGTAGACATGTTATTTTGAACTCTGTCCTTCAGTTCCCTTAGCCATAAAGCAGGAATGAAAATCTTCATCTTGCAAGGTTGTTATAAGGACTAGTGATAATGTAAGTGCCTGACACATGGTTGATGCAGTTAACTCTCATTATTATTATTATTACAAGACATATAATCCTGGAAAATAGTATTAAACTTTCAAATGCCAACCCCAAATTGGAAAAATCATAAATGCCCCACAATGGGGAAAGCTAAAATAAATCATTCCACACCTGTAACCATTGGCTATTATATGACCATTCAAAATAAGATTCACAAAGGACTTTTAGTGATAGGAGAAATTGTCACACCTTATGTGATTATAAAACAGCAGGAACAAGAACTTTATGAGCATAATGAATATATGTGTATAAACACACACACATAGTCAATGCCCCCCAAACCCTACAAATACAGGTAGTGGTTATCTCTGGGTGATGGGACTATTAGTGATTTTTATTTTCTACCGTAAATGTCCTGTATTTTCCAATGTATCTGTACTAAGCATATATTAGCTTTATACTAAGAAAAAAGTTATTTTTAAACTTCTGGCACATATGTGGCTATGTTCTCTGCCTGCAGAAGGCATTGACATTGTTTAAGGTTTATGTGCTAATTTGACCTTGATATCACACAGATGTATCTGGCCCAAACCAAGATAGGCAAAGATGTACTGACCAAGCTGAATTGGTTTGGCTAGGATATCATTTGGATTCCCCAACAGTGAGAATAATGTGGAAGACAAAAATTTACCTCTTGCAAACATCATAGATAATGCAACAACAGAATGATAAAATTTACACAAAAACATGAGTGCCAGATTCATATTTTGTTTTGATATTCGGATATCATTTGGATTCCCCAACAGTGAGAATAATGTGGAAGACAAAAATTTACCTCTTGCATACATCATAGATAATGCAACAACAGAATGAAAAAATTTACACAAAAACATGAGTGCCAGATTCATATTTTGTTTTGATATTCAATGCCTATTGATTGCACTTTAGTTCTATCTTGGACAAATGTGAGTGTCTCTCTGCATTAATTGCCATGTTTAAGGTTACAGATTGAAACACTTCTAAGAATACTCCTATGTTTGAATTCATAATCCTATCTAGTGATGGTGCTTTAATAAGTAAGTGTATTCCTTAAAACTAAACATCTAAATCTAGTTTCAATTTCACTTGCTTTTAATTCTCAATTTTTGTTTTGTTTTGGCAGGTGAAATACATGATGACCTGGGTCAGAAGACAGAAATAACTAAGGTGTGAAAGAGCTAAAATTTTATTTTTAGTTTTAATTTCAGATTTATGTGCTTTTTAAAAATGGTAAGCTCCTAGAGGCCTGATTTCCACTATGACCAGATGAGATACTTAATGCATAACATTAAAAAAATAGATACATATCATCCAAAATTCCTTCTCATCCAGGTCCCCCAACCACAGAGTTCCCTCTGTTTTAAAATTCTTTTAGAGATAGTAATGCATATGTAAGCAAATATGAGGGTACTTAAAAAAAAGCTTGTGGAAAAATTAATTAGAAAATAATACAATTCCTTCCACGATCTTTTTGAAGACCTCTTGTACACTTCCCCATCTTTTACATAGGTGGTGGCACAATATACATACTGTTCTTCAACTTTCTTTCTCAACAATATACTTGAAGATCTTTTAGATCAATTTTAAAAAGTACTTCCTTATCCTTTTTTTATTCTTAAATAAATTTATTTTTAATCGAAATGTACTGATTGTACATATTTATGGATACAGAGTGATATTTTAATACATGTATACAATGTATGATGATCAAATCAGGGTAATTAGCATATTCATCATTATAAAACTATCGTTTCTTTGTCATGAGAACATTTGGTTTCCTCTTTTCTAGCCATTTGGGGAACATACAATAAATTATTAATTATAGATACCTAGCACTACCATATACCAGTAGCCGTATTCTTTTTAATGACTAAATGGTACTCTGTTATATTGATGTTCCATAATTTATGTAAAGAGACATTAATGTACATTTAGGTTGTTTCCAATATTTTCCTAGCAAAGAAAATGCTGCAAAAATAACTGGGTACCTATGTTCTTTCATGTGTTAAGAGAGTATAGAATTAGTTTGTAGAAAAGGAACTGGAAAATCAAAAGTTACCTGCATTTGTAATTTGATAAATATTGCAAATTGCCATCTTTAGAATTTATATCAATTTACCATGCCAACAAGCAAGTATAAGAGTGTCTGCTTTTCCCCATCCCTAACAACACAAAAGTTTTCTATCTTTGACAAGACTTTGTAAAAAGAAAATATATCAATATGGTTCTAATTTTAATTCCTCTTATTATGAGTGAAGTTGGACATCTTTTCATAATTTTTTTAACCCTTTTTTTCTATTGAATTGTTAATTTAAAAAATCAATTTATGGTCACTCTGTATATATTTGGGAAAATAGGTCTTTGTCTGTGAAATTGAGTTTCAAGTATTTTTTCCTCACTTTGTCATTTGCGCCATGATTTTTTTTCTGGTATTTTAAAAATATCTTATTTTTATGTAGTTGAAGTTTATCACTTTTTAAAAACATCACTTTTTAGTTTTGTGTCAGATATAAAGCACACCATCATTATAGAGTTAATGTTTTATATTTAAATCTTAGATCCATTTGGATCTTATCCTGGTATAGGGTGTAATGTATGAGTCCAACTTTATTTTTCTCCAGATGGCTACTCAGTTTACCCATTTATTAAAAAGCCATCTTCTTTTTCACTGATTTGAGATGTTACGTTCATAGCATACTAAACCCTTGTGGGTACTGGGTCTTTTGCTGAACTTTTGGTCTGTTCCTTTGTCTTTCTATGCATATGTCAGTACCGTACTGTTTTAATTATTGAGGCTTTAACATCTTGTAGGGTTAGTCGTATCTCAATGCTCTTTTTTTTCCAGATTTTTCTTAACCGTTTTGCCCATTTAGCTTTCCTCGTGAATTTCAGAATCAGATTGTCTTTGGTATTTTTGTTGAAATGGTGCTAAATTTATTGATTATCTTAGGAAGAGTTAATATCCTCATGATGTTGAATCTTCTTATCCAATATCATAGCATGTATTTTAAGTTACTTAAGTTATATTTTGTGTCCCTCAGAAATATTTTCAGGTTTTTTGCATAAATACCTTGCATATTTTTTGTTAATTTTATTCCTAGGTATGTTATTTATCTTTTTGTTTGTTGTTTCTAACTGGGGCTTTTCTCTCTATTATGCCTCTTAATATGAAAGCAATAAATTTATTTATTTTGTATACCACTGTCTTACTGGATTATCTCATCATTTATAGTAATTTTTAGTTATTTTTTGGGGAGGTTCCAAGTGTATAATCACATCATCTGCAAATAGAATTTTACTCCTTCATTCTAAGTTTTTACTTTTAATTTCTTTTTCCTATCTATTGCATTGCTTAGTACCTCTAGAATAATATAAAATAATGTGGTCCTTGTTTACATCTTTATTTCTGTCATTAGTGCATATGCTTCTAGTATTTGCCCCATTAAACATAATGAAGACTTTGGACTGAAATAGATATATTTTTGGAAGATCCGTTTATTCTATACACATAATTTCCATATATAAAATCTTATTTGTGTATTTATTTATTTAAAGCTTAAATTGGATACTGAATTTAGACAAATGCCTTTTATCACCTATGAGCACAATAAAATGTTTTTTCTTCCGTGGGTATATTAATATGATGAATTAAATTAACAGATTCAATATCATCCATGTTTTCCTGGAATAAATGTCATGTTAAACTTTTCTCAATGAGTTGCTAGATTCTGTTTGCTTGTGCTTTATTTAGATATATGCATTGATATTTGTAAGAGACATTGGTCTGCAATGTTCTTTTTTGCAGTAATGTTTGTTTGCTAACAATGTTGTATTTGCTTTAAAAACAGAATAAAAAACTTTCTTTCTTTTTGTACTCTGTGGGAGAGTTTATATAACATAAAAGTAATGTGTGCCTTAAAGGTTTCATAAAATTTCACTGTAAAATCATGTGGACCTGGTGCTGTTTGGGTTGGTAGCTCTTTGATAATGTTTTCTATAGTCTTTTCTACAGTCGTTATCTGGTTAGCATCTCTATGTCTTTTGAAATGTTTTGGAAAAATTATATTTTCTTAGAATATTGTTCAATTCAACCAGATTTTCAGATTTATTTGCAAAAAACAAAAAGAAAAAACTTAGCAAAGAAGTTCTTATAATTCTTTTAATTTTCTCTTTACCTGTAATTACTTCTTTTTATTATTTTTTATGTTTTATTTGTCTTTTTTCTTTCTTGTCTTGATTATATTAGTAAGTAGTTAAGTCACCCTTTTCTCCAGCAAAAAAGTAGAGCTGTTGAATTTACTTATTTTTTTCTTGTGTTTTAATCAGATCAGTAAGTTTTGCTTTTATCTTTATTAACGCCTTCTTCTTTCATTTTTAAAATTTCTTTTGTTTTTCTCTTCCTTACTTTATACTTAGATGCTTTATTTATTTATATTCTTTTCTGTTTTTTAATATAAATATTTAAGTCTATTAACTTCCCAATTTTATTACATAGATTTTGCATAGTTTTTCTCTTCCTTACTTTATACTTAGATGCTTTATTTATTTATATTCTTTTCTGTTTTTTAATATAAATATTTAAGTCTATTAACTTCCCAATTTTATTACATAGATTTTGCATATAGTTTATTAAACTATCTCTACTTTATTTATTTTTGTATTATTATTTTATCTTTATTTCTGTTATATAATTTGAACCCTCAGTTGAAATTTAACTATTGAATTTGAACCATGAGTTTTTAAGGAAGAATTAAAAGATTTCCAGGTGGCAGGTTTTTTCCCCCTAACTTTATTATACTTTTAATAAAAAAGGTATTTATTATTTCTACTTTTTGGAATTTACTGGGATTTTCTTTGTGGCTTAATAAGGTCAATTGTCAATTTTCCAGGGCCTTAAAAAGAAAGTGTACATGTTTTCTGTTGTCAAGGTATAAATTAGCTATGTATTGTTAGCTCTGTCTTATTAGTCATATAATTTAGATTCTTTATTTATCTTTTATCCATATTATCTGTTTGGGTTGAAGAAGGTAACTAAAGTGTTCTGATAATCTTTCTCTCTGTATAGCTCTTATATATTTTGAAATCTTTGTTTTGTTGGGTATTGATGCTATTTTTTTGGTGAATTGATGGTAGTAGTGGTCATATTTTTATTAGGAATTACACAATTTAACATTAAAAATGATCTTCTTTGACTCATTTAATTCTTCTTGGCTTGTATTCAATCTTATTTGATATTAAGATAATAATTCTTCATTTTTTAAATTTGCATTTGCCCACCTTTTATTTTCAGTGTTTCTGAATTGCTTTGTTTTAGGTGTGTCTATTGTGCAGTGTGTGGGGTTGGATTTTGCATTAAGTTCCAATCTTTTAATAAGTGAGTTTGGCCCATTTACATTGGACTATATCTTGCCTTGGTTCTGTTATAATATTTTAGGTTATTAATTTTTGTCTTTACATTTTTTAATAATTCTTCCCTTATATGGACTATTTTACTCTTTGTGTGTGTGTGCACGTGCACTTTTCTTGTGATATTCAGGCAGGTATTTTATTGTTTTTCTACTGTATGCTTTTAAGGATTTATATAATACTCTTAATTCGTTTTTTCCTAAGGCAGTGTCAATTAATTTCCTAATAGGAAGAATGATAAAATTATTATATTTCTCCTTCTCCCTCATATTTTCCTAATATTTTTCTTAATGATACCTTCTGGTCTTAAATATATATAGATTTCTTTTAGTTGGTTTGGAGCTTTAAATGATATCTTCTAGCCTTCAAATACGAAAATGAGAAAATCAGCATCTTCTCCCAATTTTTTTTAACTGTCTTTTCTACATAATGAATGTATGTAATATTTACACTTTGTTTCATCATCCTAATCTCTCTATTTGTTTTAAATCTAGTCCTTTAGTTACAGACATTTGGTGTTCACCACTAACTAGTCTCTTTCTCATGGTTTATTCAGTTATCTTTTATTTAGCTGAAGTTTCTCTAGTTTCAACAATGGTTCATAAGAAGTATCTGTTGATAACTCTCTCTTGACTTTATATTTGATTGACAGTTCAACTAGCTATAACCTCTTTGGGTCACAGTTTCTTCTGTAAAGGGTTTTAGGAAAGTCTAAGGCACTGTGTATTTTAGATCTTGCTTGTAAGTTACTCTTTTTTTTT